CTTTCTTTAACGTTGAACGTGACCTAACAGAAAACCGATTTGCCTAGGTTTGTGTTAATAGTTCTCACTTTACAAACCCTACATTGTATCTTACTTGTCATTACTTAGCTTCTACCTGCAAGTAATATATTCGTCTTTCACCATGAGTCATTGACATTATTCCAATTTTTGCTCTACAGTATATAAAATTCATCTTGTGATTCGTTACCTTCCCTATCCTATGGATGAATGACCTTGATACTACAAGATTTAGCCTTTGTATTCTGATGCATATATCCCTTGCTACTCATTGACTTTTATTATCACTTAATTGTCATCTTGAATCCCTTGGGTTCAGAGTATTTTTTCAGTCGGAAAGATCATAATTGTATGCCATCAATTTATTTGGCCCCTAATGTATGGAACACTGACACACTATGTGAACGGAAGGATGCTAGACATTACGCCCCTATTAGGCGTTGAAAAAGGATGCTTGTCCTTGAACGACATTACTGAGTAAACAACTTCTGGATGACTTGTAAATAAAACTATGTTTAAAATCAGTTTCGCTTCCATGATAAATCTTTTCATCCTCAAACATGTTCGAGGTATAGATTCTACAATTATCGTCTCTAGTTTCCCTAAAAGATAATGGAGGAGACTAAAAGTACTACCGTGATGGTTTTTTAGAGTATCTCAGTATTTAGTAAGATTCATGATAGCCTGTAAAAACTTTTTGAATGTCCATATGTACCTTCTGCTGGCAAACAGTTTATTAAAACAAATCTAAGCCCAGGAAATCAGTGTCAGGTAATGGGTGTTTGGGAAAATAGTGACTCAAAATGAATAATGGGATGTGGTTCTCTTTATGTTGGGAACATCAATGGATTCCAAGTATTGACCATTTGTCTCGTATTAAATATGTGACACATATATCATTTTAATATTGCTTCTATCCACTAGTTTTAGATCGGTTTGATTACGTGTGGTGATTGAATCTACTACTAAACTATAAGTTATAGGCTTAGAAATATAGATAAAAAATGGACAGATTCACAATCCAACAGACTAAAATCGAATCAACACAAATACAATGATTGAAGTATAGGATAGTGATAGAAGAGTTCAGTATTAGTCATCGAAGAACAATTGAAAAAAGGAAGTAACCAGTAGAATTAAAATGACTCATTAAAATGTCAAATATCTATGATTAAAAAAAACTATTGTAACGAAAGTGGTAAGTTTTTCTTCACGAAACAAGATCTGTTTTAAAAAACATGATTAAGGTAGAACGGATGATTTATGCTGCTACCACACTTCATAAGCTAAGTAAAAATAATCCTTAAAATGAACCTCAGTCCCAAATACAGCCAGTTTCCCATAAACTGCTACGATCATATCATTTCATCGAAAATACTTGACCCATAATCAAAATAGCTAATATTGTAAAAATAAAGCAAACAACAATATTTAAATATACTTATCATTCAAAAGCTGTTCAAACTAACCAGCGTGATAACAGGAAACCAGTAGAGGGAAATACAGCGTGTCATTTTGGAGCTTTGAAACAGTTGCTTTATAAACCAAACAGAACTTTATTAGAGATCTATTTGCAAAATTTCGGTGTCCCATACTGGATTTTCACGAGGTTTTAGAAAGTTTGAAACATTAAAACCATGGTATAAACCCCTGATAACTTGATCACAATCTTCAGTATAAGTCAATAGACTTTCCAGTTGATTACAACCCAAAGGGACGAAATGGACTGGAAGAAAGGAACGAGAATGGTGACAGATTTGTGTGTGCATTCAACAGAATGGTTATAGGTGATACAATATTCTGCCACAAACGTATACACAAAGCTACAGAGGTCCCACTATATCACACTACAGGAAATCAGATCGATCGTATTCACATCATTAAAAAATTCTAAAGGTCAACGTAAGAGGTATCACACTACTATCGGTACCAGTAGAAGTTTACAAAAGTGTTGTTGAATCGGATGAAAGATTCAGTTGACGCCCAACTTCGAGATCAGCAGACCGGATTTCGTAAGGATCGGTCGTTCACAGATCAAACAGTGACACTATGAATCATTGTTGAACAATCATTAGAATGGGACTCGTCACTATACGTCAACTTTCTTGACTGTGAAAAGGTATTTGATAGTGTGGATAGGAGAACCTTATGGAGCATTCCTCGACACTATGGTGTACCTGAAAAAGCCGCCAACATCATTCGGAATTCATACAACGGTCTACACTATAAGACGTGCATGAAGGACAGCTGACAGATGCATTCCAAGTGCGGACTGGAGACAGACGAGTCTGCTTACTCTCTCCCATTCCGTTTCATCTGGTGGTTGACTGGATTATAAATTCCTTCACATCTAAGGGGAAGCATGGAATACAGTAGAAAGCTTTGTCGTAACTACACGATTTGGATTTCGCAGACGACCTAGCTCTAATATCCCATGCACATCAACAAATGCATGTCAAAACAAACAGTGTAGCTGCAGCCTCTACAGCAGTAGGCTTCAATATACACGAGGGGAAAAACAAGATCCTCAATTACAACATTGGGGACACCAACAAAATCATAAATGGTGGAGGAACTCTGAAACAGGTGGAAGATTTCACGTAGCTGGGAAGCATCATCTGTAAACCAGGAGGATACGATGCAGTCGTAAGGGCAATGATTTGCAAAGCAAGGGCTGCATTCCTACAGTTGGAGAACATTTAGAGCTCAAAAAAGCTGTCAGTTAACATCAAAGTCATAATCTTCAATATAAACGTCAAAACAGCTCTAGTATATGGAGCAGAAACGAGGAGAACTACTGCAACCATCATCAGAAAAGTACAAGTATTTATAAACAACCACAAAATGCTCAGTGTCCGTTGACAGGAAAACATCAGCAACAGCCTACTGTGTGAGGCAACAAACCAGTTTACAGCTGAGGAGAAAATTAGGAAAAGACTTTGGAAGTGGATAGGACATATACTGCTGGAATCATCAAACTGCATCACGAGGCAAGCGCCAACGTGAAATTCCAAAGGGAAACGGGAAAGTGGAGGGCCCGAAAACACAGCGGCGAGAATCAGAAGCAGGCTTCAAAAGGATGAATAGCAAATAGGAAGGATTGGCCAGGACAGAGTTGGATTGAGAATGCTGGTGGGCGGTTTATGCTCCTCCACGAGGGGTAACAGCCATAACTAAGTAAACGAATATCTTGATTCATGGACAGTTAAACAAACTCTACTGACCAACGACATGATATGCTTCACAAAATGTAAATATTTTCATGCAAGATATTCGGTTGTTAAGTCAATATAGATTTGTCTTTAAGTAATTACACATATGGACCTCACCGGGTTGAAACACATCTCAAAGCTCACGGACACAGATAAAATCAGTACCAATCATTATGAAAAGCGAAATGATTATTGATTACAACACACTAATAGGAATTTATACACAGTTGTGTAGTTACCCGATCAGTTGAGTGGAATGTGTATGTCCGTTTCCTTTGTAAGCGATGAATAGAGATATTTTAGTTTCGAAAATATTAGTATTTTGTATGTTCCATTCGCTAGACGTTATACCTACATTCAGAAGGCTATTTTGTTTACTTGACTTAAAGTATGAGGCTGGTAAAGACTTATGAGAAACTGTATGTTTTTTTGCCATCTTTGTGCAACTTATCACTGTGACCAGATGAAGAAGTGACATTAGTCTATGAAGTCGGTGACTGTTGGATTTTTCCGTATAGATAAGTGCAGATTAACTGATTGAGGGTCCGAACAATTACCGTGAGCAATAGGTGAGATAAATTTACTTTGTTTCTCTCAGGTCTCTCAGTTCCGAAATATTTCTATGCGTGCTTGTCTAGCAAATTCACTATTTATTCTAAAACTATACTGCATGTACTAAACGTTTATTTTGATACTTATACCGTGACTACCTATACCATCCTGGGACAGCACCGCCTTGCAGTGCTAATGATGTGCTGTAGTAATTTGAGCCGATATACATAAGTATCAGGCTCTACGTTGCTGATAATCGACTGAATTCGTTGTGATTATCGTAAGAAACAGTCATTCACACAAATGAATATAAATCTGTACTAGCATACTATTGAATTTCTTTGTAAGTACAGAACTAGTAGGTTTTAGGGATGAATTCAATCGTTCTTTAATTGTGTTTCATAGTTTGGGAATACAGAACGAGTATCAATAAATTTATTGAATTTATTGGATTATCTCGTTGTTAGTGATTTTGGCTGGTATATGATCAAACTTTGTTGGCATATGTTCATCTTTTGACGATTGCCTCGGTAATAGCAATTATAAGTTGACGTAGATGGAATGAGGTCAGTAATGGTACTCGGGACGCATGTTTCGTCCTAACTGGGACTATTAAGTTGGACATAACTACATCCCAGAGTCATCACTCCTAGACACGAACATAGTACAGTTCGTTTGAAAAGTGTTATCCACTTAACTATTGAGTGCAGATAGTCACTCACTTGTGAAGCGGATAGGAGGTTTAGCATAGATATGATAAATTAATGTTCACGTGATTTGGCTATTCTATCTACGTCATACAACATTCGGACGGTAAATTTAGACTAGACTAATTTCTACGGTTTTTGTAAATGACGTGTGAGGCGTTCACTTTCACTAATCATGAAGTATAAACATGTAAGCTAAAACAGTTTTCATTATCATTCAACCTATTAACACTGTAAAGTACATGAGACTATAATTTATTAACGATCTTTGTGGGACGCTAAAGTGACCTTGTAAAACCAACCAGTCTACTAGGATCAAAAATAGATTATAAGATTAATATCAGGCATTAGGATTAAGAGTTAGAAGTTCAAGAGCTACAGTTACGTTTTCCATCACGAACCGACATTCGCTATAATGATAACTTGACTCACGATCATCCCTAGGTTTCTTAGGGAATATATGTATATAATTATGTAACAGGCCTTCAACTACAACTTTACAAAAGAAAACTCATGAAATAAAGGATCTTTATTTAAAAAATATGCTTGTACATAGAGTAAATAACAATATACAACAAAGTGTACAAATGTTCTTTTGAGCAATTGATTTTGGAATTCTATGATTCAATATTTAAGTGTATTTCTAACAATAATACTACAAACAGTATATATAAATATAAATCATGCAAAGCTGAGAATGAATTCCAAACAAACAAGATCTTATAGTTTTTTATTATTATTTCGAAACCTCCAGATTTATCCGCCTTTTTAACTCATCAAACCAATTTAATATTTTAAATAGAATTTTTAACTTTATCAATCAAACGTTGAATTTTATTCAGTTTGTCGAAATGTACTTCATGGTTTTCTTCTTGATAATGACTTTGTTGTAGGCAGTGCGGTGTTGTTGATTGAAGATGATGATCATTTGAATCATGTTTCTGATGTGATGGTGCTATTTGTTTAACTCTGACAATATCAACATTGTCATCATCATCATCATCGTCATCATCACCACGTTCAATTTGTTCCGGTAATTTTATAGAAGTAAACGTCTGAGCAGAATTTTCTGGAATTTGTTTCTGTAATGTGTTGAGAATAACAGCAGAGCTGGCCGCAGCTAAAGCCTAATAAATAAAAATATATAAACGAATTTGGAAAAGAAAAAAAATTCTATCAAGTTCTTATTTGTTTTTTATGGAGAAATGAGGGCAGTTAGAAGTTGTTTAGGTTTCGTTTTTTTACATCTCAGGTATGAATCTTATGCATATTTATTGATGCTCAGTTGAAAAGAATCCCAGATTAAAACGAAATAACCTAAAGGAAAGCTGCGTAGATTGAATAAACTTCATATCAATTGATGATATAAACCTAACAGAAAGAATTCAGAAAAAAAACTGACTTTCTAACATTTGAATAAATAGGATTTGAAATTTATGACTTGAATAACTAATATTCATTATGTTTGGTATGTGTATAACAGTGGAATCCAGATGTGTATTTCGCCTCAGTTGTAATTAATCTACTGAATATAACTGAGTCTCAGTGTTGATATCCACAATAAGACTGGAACACAGTAAATGAAAAGTTCCCAAGTTATAAATACCGAAGCCTAATTAAAGAAAAGTATAAACACTAGTTAACGGTGTAATGAATTCAGATAATATTGACATTCAATGTTGAGATACATGTACATATATATTGTCAATTATGTCAAAACTATCTGTCTGTCAGTGATAATAAATTCATTGGAGTTAATATTTGTTTTATCTTCACTACAGACAATGATTCTATGGGTTATTTTGTATTAGATTATCGTTCAAGAAAAAAAGCAGATATTAGTTATACAATTATTATTGGGAACTCTGAGTTCGATCCCAGTGGAAATGGGTGGGTCATGGATATACATTGTAAAGATGTTGGATACTACGAACAAATGAGTTATCCACTACCTCCTGGTTTTCAGTCGTTAGCTAGTCTAAAGTCATTTCATGATGTGAACTATAAAATTCCTCAATTGATAATAATAATAATAATAACATAAACTTACTGTTTGACTGGTTGTTAAAGCTACGTTAGGATCTAATGGAGCAAAATCTGCATTACTAGCAGCTCGTTTTATCACTTCCTTTGTATGAGCTTCAGTAAGTTTTTCAGCTACTTTTAGTTTACTTTGAAAAAATTTCGTATCATCCATTACCCCAGTGGCAACAGCTAATCCACTGACAAGTGAACCGCCTAAATTAAAATTCATTTGACTACTAGATATTGCATGAGTCATCGTTGTAGACGCATTACCAGGACCAATATCATAAATACGCGAACGATGTAACGATTCATTTGATTTAATCATCGAAATGAATTCTGTACGATATTCTTTCTCAGCCGGTCCCCATTCATGAACAGGTTTCAAAAATTCTTTCATTAACTATTCATAAAGGGAGGTAGGGGGTTTAAAAATAATTTTCTATGTAGTAATGGGAAATAAAAATATACCTTCGAGTAAACTAAAATGAAACATATATCTAGTTCACTCTGTCGACTCTGTTCCTGAACACCAAAGTATGTGAAACTATAGAGAAAATATTTACATTAATAGTTACAGTGTAACTTGACTGGTAGAATCTGATCAACACTAAGGTTTAGATGTAAAAGTAAGTTTTACTGACCAGTCATAGTTAGATTTAAGATAGTAGCTTGAAGACAGGTTTTTAAGCAAGCTAATGGTAAACAATTTGTATCTGAATAGGACGTCTTAAATTTATAAACACAGTAAGACTAAAGAATATTGAGGAATTAGAGAGTAACTTTTGAAATATTAACGAAAAAACTGAGTAGACTGTCGATAGGAAAAAATTGTGCAAAACGAAACGAGTTGCAACGTGACGTCTTAACATAATTTGAAAATGTTTCAATGTGACTAATATGTTTTTGAGATCCGGAATTAAAGAACTATTTACATAACCGTTTATCAATTCGGCTACGAATCATTCTTCTACTGTAACTAGAAAGAAACAGTGCTTCCTGGTTTCCAGTGATGGCCCAACTATGATTAGCATATAATGTGATCTATTTAAATCAGTCAATCTCCACAGAACCCCTTAATAATTATTTATTTACATTACTTGCATGCTGATTAGCTAAAAGTGGGCTATACTAACGAAAGTTGCTAATTTTTGTCAACAAAGTATGTTTTTTATTCACCTAATACACTTTATCAAAGATAAATCACTCATAAGTGATTCACAACATAAAAAAATGAAAGAAACATACAACATAACCGCCTTCTTTACAGTATTTATATAAAAACCATGCAATGATTGTTAATACAGGTATAGCTGCTAATATTTGACGAAATATTAATGCCCACTGTGGATATGTATAATTGCCTTCTTTAAATTCTGTTGAATAAATAAATATTGCAATGATCAACAAGAAACAAATGATCGGTGTGAATACAAGCCAACAAATACGCCAATACCAATTTGGTCGTTCATCAATCATCATTTCAATATCACGTCGAAATTGTTTTAAACCTAAAATATAATAAATGAAGAAGAGAAAGTTGGAAAAAAGTGAAGATTAGAATTGAAACAAATAATTTAGGTGAAAATTTTCATTATTATGGAAAATTATTCAGATGAGTATGACAAGAATAAAGCTTTAAAATTCACATCATGAACAGATCTTAGTCAAACAACCATTTAAAATCAGGCGTTTGATAGTTGTTTTGTTCATAAGCATGGGACTTCACAGAAATGTGTACGGAGGATCCCTGTTGTGAGTAGTTAAGTTCAATATTGTCGGGTGTGTAGCGATTAACCACTGAGAGACTTGGGAGGCGATTGTGCAATACCATGAATTCAGTTCAACATTTAAGCCTCCCAAGGAGACCTGAAGTCCTTCAATCGACTCATGGAGAATCTTGGTATACGCACTGTTGAGAATTCCCATTTAATGATGAAACAACTGTCAAGTACTCCCTAGTTATTCATGTTTATCTAGCTAAAGCCAATTCGTGATGGAAATTACAGAATTCAAAAATCTTCATTAACTCATATACAGTAACACTGACCACTTGATAACTAGGCACTAACTTTGAGATATATTTCCCGGACTTCTAAGCGAAGCTGTGAAAAGAGAAAGCCAACCACATCGAGTATTAGGCGGTTACCCACCAATGATTTTGGAATGAAAATTGACTGAAACTAAGCATGCAGACTATTTAAAATGATTATTTAAAGGTTAATTGCTGGCATCAAGACCACAATGATCCTTGGTTCAATTATAAGTTTAGCTGTGAGTGCACTTTCATGAGAAGACCTATACTGGGACGAAACAGCTATCCATTTCTTCCTAGTTTTTAATGGCTGTCTAGCTACAATCAGTTTATGATGAAAAGTATAAAATTCAACAATCTCTACAAATCCTTTATACAGTCAATCATGCCGAATACTAGGCAGTTATCTACATATCAAGCTGATCTCTCTTTATCAAATGAATTACTCATCATTACAGTTATGTGGAAAAATCCCAACCTTGTTACATCTAATTGTGTTTACCAGTTTACATCTACTTGCCAAGGCACATACATCGGGAGAACAGAAAAGAGCGTTAGTTTACGCATCGTTGAGCGCATTCCATAGAAGCTAAGACCTAGAGGACAATACGTTTTTAGCAGTGCAAATTCTTACTACGTATCTACGTATCTCAGTTAATTTTATTTTAAGAGTTAAATAATAACAATTATATATTGCTTCTAAATAATTCTGTTTCTAAGTTCTCAGGTATCTATCTTAGAATATTCTTATACATTCAACTTATAAATATCCACATTATTTGACAAATGTACATTCTTGCTAGCTTCGCCTGGAGCCCCTCTCGAGCTACTGCCCGTCCCAAGCCCGGATAAAGGAGGGTTTGGCATGGGGTTAGCGACCACATCCCGTAGAAAACTAATTCGCTAACAAACGCTAACCATAAAAACATTCCTGCTAGTTCACTCATACTTATTACTCTATTCATCACTTGATTTGTGTGTGGGTTGTGATACTGCCCGGGTGTTCAAACTAAAGCAGGTAGTTTTCTTAGGGGGCTACTCTCGGAGCGTTTGACCTAAAGGTCTGGTCCATAAGGCATTGGAGCAACATCAGGAGATGCAGTCACATGGTAGCCGGTAACCAACGTTTGGTTCATATGCCATTTGTTTCCTAAGGATCCTGCAGCCCATGTTCACTATTGGTTTGGAATCAGAATTTTCCAACTCCCCTAGGTGAACCCTCCGTGTCCACTGACCCGGTTAAAGCACCGGACATTAACTTTTCGTCCTCTCAATTTCGTAAACAACAAGCAGCGAGTAGAAATTTCCTGTCAGTGGTTGGATGCACGTGGACATGTGCGAGCATTTCGAGAGGGAGAGCTAACTCTTCCCACCCCGGCTGTATCAAGACGTTTGGGGGCATGCACACAAAGACTTTTAATGATTAATACTATTATGTTTAAGATGTAATCAGCTGACGAGAAACTTCGAATAATATAACGAATTCATGTTATTCTGCTACATTATTCGTTCTTGTTTTAGTCAAATATAAAGTATAAAATACATCAAATGATCGATGAATTAATATTACAAAGTTGCTAAACGACAGACAGTTGCTCACGTGACTAAATAATCACTGTAGATCGCCCTCCTACCATATCAAAATTATTTTAGAAGACAAAACAGAATAGAATAAAATTTGTCAGTGGATCAACGAGAACTCTTAACATGTAGTTTATTGAATACAAAAATAAACATAATTATTAGAATTTAGTCAATGAATAGATGATTGGAAGGTGTAAGAATGACAGATCATTCACTCTTCAATGAATTCAATTGATAAGCTGTCATATCAAGTGTATGGTGTTTCAATTAACGAAAATATTAAATTCCATTGTAATTAGGCACTGATTTATTATATTCTATTACATTAATTAGTTTCACTTTAATCAAACATTTTTGAAAAAACAGTCATGAAAGATTTTTTCTACAAAATTATTCGTTTTAATGAATTAATTCTTAAATAATTTTTATTCATAAAAGTGTTAATCATCTATGATAAATTAAAACTTACCATATACATAACAGATAACAATTGTTTCACATAATGCAATAACCAAAGGTGTATAACCTGATATAACACTATCACATATAGAGAATAAATAATAACCACCAGCACAAACCATAGGTAATCCAAGCAAGAAATCAACAAAGCATATAACAATTCTATGTAAACCAATAACAGCCATAATAACACAGAGAAAAAAGGGAAAGAAAGAAAGATAAAATAAAGTGTATGTATTGATTTACTGTTGGTGTATGAACGGTCTTATAGGGAGTTTTACTATTATACAGTCTAGTTAAATGTCTAGATTAACCTGTTTTCCAGATGTACAAATAGTGCAATGTAGTTAGCTATTTATAATACATTTGTTGTTTTTAAATAATATTCTGCATGGTTACCGGTAGGTATTCATTATATTCCTAAACACCAATGGGAAGATTCAAATAACCAATACAAATGAATCAAAACTTCACACCGATACACAATTCAATTGCTATCTGAACTCAGTAGTCAAGTGGATAACGAGATATTGTTTCATGTAAACGGTACTAGGGTCAAGTCCTGGAGTGAAAATCAACTCTAGGATGCAGATACATCAAGCTGATAAATTTTGTAAATATTCATGGAGAACACATTACTGATGCTAGACTTCTTAAGACCAGAATTTTCACTTTTACTAAATCAGTGTTTCCCCATAGGCAAAATAGTCAACCGAGGTTTGAAAGTAGATGATATAGTCGAATAGCCTAGTCAGAAAAAACGGATTACTTATGACTACCAAATACTATTTTGCGTAAACAGACGTTGTCAGTCAGTCAGCTACAACGTAGGACCAGGCATTTATATGCATCAGTCCAAGTTGCCACACCTAATTAGCACAACAACATGAACACCAAATTCACAGAAGTAGTCACTTCAATGGTAGTAATATATAAAAAAAAAGAATGTGTATAAAGACATAATACAGGAAAGAATAATTAGTTCGTAGGAATAAATATAGTAATTTTAATCTCACGGTTTAAGGGTAGGCAACGAATGTACACACCTACACCATTGTGATCAGTTATGAGCCATGTCACCAAGAGTCTCCATTCATTACTTACGATAGTCACGCGGACCCCAACCAAGTAGTCTGCATCTTCTAACATGGCTCAGACCAGAAGTTAGTGACTTCAAGGACTGATGCACGTTTTGGTTTGGCCGCCCCTAACTTTCTTCTAACCATGTCCAACACTAGTCAGCATTGCGCGTCGTGGTAAACGGTGTCCAGGCATACGTAACACGTGGCACAACGATCTCATTCGATGAACATTCACAACCTTATGAACTGATTTACCATCATTTCTAATTCTGAATCCGTGCAGAGATTTCGTCAGACACCAACTCATTAAGGCTGAACAGACTAACAAGATAAGTGAAGTTGTCGACGCGTTCGACTACTTCACTCGCTATCCCTAGTTCAGGTGTTGACGCAGGCCAGTCCTGAAGTGACAATTTGCATTTAAATAGGGAGAAATGCATCATAAACATTCTGGTATTGTTGCTCAGTGCTACCAAAAGACTGCATCTTATCAGAATCTTCATCAAACAGGACTATGTCATCTGAGTATTCTAAGTGGATCTCTTTGTAGGAGATCGATTCCTGAAAATTCAGTCGACGAGACTGTTATTTCCAGCAGTAGATCTATGATGAAATTGAACAAAAAGGGAGATAGTGGATAGCCTTTCCGGACACCACATGAGGTTGCAAAATCAGATGACAGTTCGCCATAAGCTCTGACTCGACTAGTAGTGTTCGAGTAAAGAGCCTTCACAAGGTTTATGTACTTCTGAGGTACACCTTTCAATGACAGACACTGTCAAAGGAACTCTAGATCCACAGAGTCAAATGCTGCCTCTAAGTCAACAATTCTATCATTGTCGGCGCCGATAAGCATGCCTGTGTTCTAAAACCTGACAAGTGAATATGTGGTCGATGTAACCAGGACCAGGTTTGAAACCAGCCTGATTTCCTCGCATTTGAAGTTCACAAGTCTTTGTTAAGCGTCCGAAGATTATTGAGGCTAGTATTTTAGATGCCATATTAGTTAATCAAATTCCCCTATGCTTATCACATGATAATTTTGACCCCTTCTTATATATTGGGACGATCAGTGATTGGGACCAGTTATTAGATGAGATTACATCCGACTCCCAGATTTTAGCTAAAATATTGGTCAACCTAATCACTAAAACTAGACTATCATCCTTAAATACATCTGAATCCAATCCATCTGGACCAGCTGCTCTTGCTGGTTTCAGATTAGTCATAGTTTTTTTTAACTCCAACTCGAGTCGGGGCGGGCCATCAGTATAAAAAATTTGAAACGATACAGTTGTCAATATCTCACCATCAACTGGAAAATTATTTTTTTATTATTCATTTACGTAGTATCTAATTTCATTTTTTTAATAAAATTTCTTTTCCTCTGATTTCTGTCATCCTTCTTTGAGCTTTACTCATCTTATTCTGTTAATCTATTTAAATTTATGTGTTATTTCGTAACCTTGACATCGGTTTTCATTCTCTAGCAACGTGTCTCTGTGTTTGGAAATTTCCTTTTGTATAAATCCTTATTCATTTTACTCTTCTATAATTCTTCCATATCTGTTGCCGTTATTCTACTAATATGACATAAAGTCTGTATATTAATCGTAAATAATTAGTACTATTATTTTCATGTTGTAAGCAACTGATGAAAAACCACATGAAATAAATGACTTTAATTTATTCTGCTACATATTTTGTTGTTGGTTTAGTCGAATTTATCGATGGAAAAAATGTATGAAACAAAACCTATATTTCGAGTTAGATATGTATTGGTTAGAGAAGTTGTATGACACGGGTCGAAATTGGTCCCAATGTTTCAGATAGATTCACTATTTTTCCACCTTAAGATTCCGAGTTTTAATATAATCTCATACTATTTTTTCTGACAATCCATTCGCTCCTCTCGAATTATATTGTTGATTGCTACTTAATCTTGTAGTACAGACGTGATATGGTGAATTCGAGTAATGAACATATGTGCCGTGCTGTACGTTGCTTTTATCTTACTGACTAATATTTCATTGAAATCGTGGACCGATTAAAGTTAGACCACTAGCAAATACCTAGAAGCACTGAATGACTATTTCTTCCCAGTATAGGACTCTACAGCACCGCGCATTCTTCACCGCACATGCGGTAATCGAACCCAGGAGCTTAGGTACTCGAGATATTTTCAGAAGGGGTTTGTGGAGATTTTTAGAAATTTTCACAGATTGAAATCATGAGTCAGTTGAAGATAGACCACCATTGAAAACCTGAAAGCACTGGACGGCCGTTTCGTCCTAGTATGGGACTCCTCAGCAGTGCGCATCCCATACTAGGACGAAACGGCCATCCAGTGCTTCCAGGTTTTCAATGGTGGTCCAGCTTCAACTGACTCATGATTTCAATCTGTGAAAAAAACTCGAGATATTTATCTAATTATTCTACCAGTCAGATATTTCCACAACAGTAAAAGAAGTCATTTTATTATTGATAGTTAATAAAATCGGAAATCTAGCACTAAAAAATAAAGGCAATCAAATGTTAAAACCAATATAACAGTAAAAATCATGTACTATCATGAACTACTTGTTCAACTTACCGATAGAACATTTTACGTTTTGTTGTCAACACTACACCTAATCGTCTCAGTTCATCTTCTGTGCCGGATAGGGTTGTTTCCAATATGGAAAACTGTGAACCAAGACCAAGTGTTAACATCATGATGAAAAATAACACTGACCATAAACTAGGCAGAGGCATATTTGTCATCGCTTCAGGATAGACAACAAAAGCGAGTCCAGGACCTGAACAAATGTTTTTTTGTTGAATAGAAGAAAATGACTAATGTTAAGTCAGCTAATCACAATGGCTAGCATTTAATGTGATTTCATACATTTGTATAACAGAGGAGAAAAAAGGCAGGGATTTTCAAAAGTGATGATTAACGAAGCGTTAACTGTGCAAAGACTTATTATTACTCCATGTTCTGCACAAAAGATGCAGACAGACATTCAACTTGATCTTTTATAGTACGGCGTTTCGGAGATTGTTGAGTTTCATTGTATTCATCACGAATCCATTAAAAATCCGGAAGCACTTAAGGCCCGTTTAGTCCTAGTATGAAACTCTTAAATAATGCTCACTCATGACCCTGATAATGGATATCTTAAGGGACATTTATAATTAGTAGCTACACTTAAGGAAGTATAGGATTTCGTGTATCTGGTATACATTCATTTTTTGCTTGACCTTGAGCTACCTTGTTCATTTGAGGATTACTGATGTTTATCCGGCTCCTCAAACTGAATAAGAACCATAGTTAGAACGTGTGACCAACTGGTTGAGAGGCGGACTAGGTGTGTGAAAATGTCACATGTTTGTTTGAAACTAGTAAAGCATAATAACAAGGAAAGTTTAGGAAACGACTAGTTAAACAGTTGTCAAAACGATTTTCAATCGTAGCATCTTCCGAAACGTCTACAGTCTGAAAACGGTTAACATTCTCCTTAATTAACTGATTACAGCTTCTCTTACATTTTGTGCGTTCTATTTTCCATTTGAAGTTCAAGGGACGAAGACTTTTGTGAACTAAAATAACAGTTCAGTGTACAAGATATTTCATCACCGAGTTCCATAGAAATAAAGATTAAATTGAAGTAAGGTTTAATAGTATTTGATTTTTAGAAAATTTATCTAGCTATGAAATAAAATTGAAAAGTATAATTTCAGTGTTGTATGTAACAAATCGTTTTGTGCAAAAGCAAACAAAAGTGTTACGAAATAAGTTCAAATATAACGACTACTCATCATTGATGTCGTAATAAAAATAAACGTTTTTGTGGTAATTTAAAGTAGGCTGAATAGCTATATCCCTTCCCCAATAATAGGCTCTCCTCAGTATTGTAATAAATGTTCACAAAAGTAAAAATTCTAAGTCTCAAATCTTTGTCACAACAGAAAACTGTAAACCTAGAAATAATTGTATTCTATCCAGCCCGTATATAATGACATAATCTGCCATTTGACATACCAGCTAAGTGATAGGCTGTGAGAATCCACATACACCAAGTGTCTGTGTTCACACAGGACCTCATGGTCGAACCATACATGAGCGCTGACAAACAAGGGGTGCTTTTACACGTAATCAAGGTCTCATCGACCATATCGTTGTCTAGATCAGAGAAATAGAGCTATAAACACCCATGATTTATGTACACTTTATTTGGTTTTGGTATTTACAGCTTTCTAGTCATGCTTACATGGTATCCTCGCTCATATTTCAGATTTAGCAAGCGTATGGGGTGTGTGAATCGGAATCTCAGTCGGACGACCGCTGAATGTGGTAACACGTACTTCAACTCTAAGAGTCCGCTCCTTATAAGTAAGGTAACATAGACGAACTACGCGGACAATTTTATATCCCGGAGAAAAGAACTTAAAACTAATGTGTATTTACAAACAAATAACGCTCTGGCTATTATTAATCTTCAAATATTCACTATAGTACTGAACAGATGATGATATACTACCGTAGTCCGAAACTACAGTCAATCAATTCTTTAATCCAGATCGTATCAATTTGCATTACAAAATAAATAGGACGCCAGTTATCAATTAGATCGATAAAAATCTGATTGTGTTGACAACAAAACTAGCCAAATGTCATTTACGTACTAAGTTTTCAAAAATTTGACATTTTCAAAGAACATTTTTATACATACTTATCTAGCTGTAAATAAACTCAAACAGCTGAAAAGCATCAGTGATAGACAAGTATATACAAGACGATATATTTAAATACAAGGAATAAGCTGTCAACTCACCGGATGTCGCCACTGCAGCGACTGTTGTATTCTTTGTTAAAGCCATAAAACCCAAATTGCTAAAGATAACAAATCCAGCGTATACAGAAGTTGCACAATTGATGATAGCGAATATTACAGCATCCCTGTTTTTTTAATGGAGAAATGTGAAGATAAATGAGGTTTCAGTAAGAAAAAACCTGACGTTTTCGATGTTATACGGCATTGTATTTCCCATAAGTGAGACGTTCCTTTGACAAGATTAAATTTTTTTCAGTTGACTCGTAAATAGACCAGAAAATATTAATGATATTTTTAATTCATTTAATTTTGGTGGATTACCTATCTAAATGTCAACTATGATGAGGTTTGCTGTGGTCCAGGGATTTTTCATTCTGGCGAGAAGTGTTTCATATTTGAGTGTATTTTTCATATCATTTGAAGAGTTTGAAGTATGAGTTATTAGCAATTATCTGCTAAGGACGATTCAGTGTTACACAGTGAAACGAACATGTAGAGTGAAATTTCTAACGAAGATTATACACTTTTAAACACAGTATTACTCACTAACCAAATGAAATGGAAGTTGCTTGATAGGTTTAGGAACAACGCATTTATTGAGGACTAAAAAAGTTGTGAATAAATTCAGCCGTCAGTTATGACAGCCAATGAGGACATTTTTAGCGCTTTCTTCATGTAGAAGTGAACGTTTTAATCATTCAATTCATTCACCTCCAGTTCGTCTTTCGTTATAATTGATACTTTATCAATTTCAGCAAAAGATGTCTGTTCAGTCAACATACCTTCAAAAAACCAACCTCAGAAAATGTAATAATATCACGAAGTTCTCTAGTAACAACATCATTCGCAAATCAACTGTGATTTCAGTCCACTCTATGTAAAACAAAAAACGCAACAACAAAGTTAGAGAAATACATTATTTACAAAACAAATTGGACCAACTGCTATGAGTATTACATTAGACAAAGTGGGTGGATCCTTAACCAACGCATAAGTGAACACAGATTAGCAATGGAGTACATGAAAAATTGACAAATTTTGGATCAGGGAAACTCTTAGGATGTCAGAAAATTTCTAAAAGCATGGAGCTCAGATCAATTAGAAAGCAACACGCAAATCGACGCTAATCCAGTCTATGACCCTATGAAGATAAGAGTAATCAATCACAAGATCGGTAGTCAACCAACAATGACGGTAAACGTGAATTTAAAGGCATGTGAAGATGGTTAAGCCAATGAAGAATGTCAATCACTAAGTTACCCGAATGAACCTATATAACAATAGTGGAATAACTTGGAATCTTATTTTCCCATGAAGTAAACGCTGGAGATATTGTTCAGAATCGCAATGAAAGCTTAGCAATTAAATTATCTAGCTCGGGGTAATCAACACCATCAAAATCATCCACCGTCCACGAATGTTTACTATCATTAAGTTGTTGTAGTTTTGTTTCGTATGGATCATAGCAAATGCCAATTTGATAAAAAGAACATCTGATTAAAAAACAGCAAAAGACCACATGACTGGTTACAAATACTATCTTTTTCGACATTTTCTGACGCATCATTCACGTGGTCATCTTCAAACATGGAAATCATCAAAAAGCAATGTACTGTTAGTTTATATACATATCGTAAAACATGGCGTTTGTCACGATACCAATCAACACATAAGTATGAGAAATTAATTGATCGTTGTTTCGGATCGGTGTAGTGTATGACAATCTATTGAATGGCGTTGAAATATAGCTGACAATTAAGATAATAAGAAAGTTCTACAAGACTATTTTTGTTAATAAGTATATAACCAAATTCTTACAAGAATAACCACACTATTTAAGAGATACTGCTACTGGTGAAGAATTGGTTCAATAATTAACAGAAATTTCCGGTTGTCTGTGAATTCATCGAAATAATGATTTTGAGATAGCTTCTTCCAACTTATCTGTTGTTATTGTTAAAAACAAGGAATTGTAACTTTTAAATGTTGATATTGAGAACCGCAATTGATCCGTCTCCATCGACATATGTGCATTCTGAGTGAACTGATTGCAGTGATACAGCCTTTCTAGCTCCACTGGTAGTCATAATGAAAATATACTAATTCTTACCTGTTATGTTTTCATTTTCGAAAATAAACAACTAACGGATTTGTCACTAAGTCTAGTGTACTTTTTAAGAGCTTCTAGGGTCTCATGGTTACATAAAAGTTTATGAAGAAAATTGTTTTCCTTTTATTAATTCATTTATGAAGTAAACTTTCTTCTATACTTTGCACCTTTATTTTAACTGTTCAACGTTTAAGAGTAGGAGAAATTTAGGAGCTAGGAAGCGGCAGAGAAATCAGTTTTTCAGCATTCAACTTCTACATATAAACGGTTAGTAACTGAAAGATGACTGATTAAATAGGCAGTTAGAAGTTTGACTAGTATATAAGTGATTTTTATATTAACAATATATTAAAAGACTTGTACTATTCTTCCACAAACCACAGGCAAAGGATTCTGGGAAATTCTATCAAGGTTCTTAACATAATACTAATAAAAACTGATAGAAGTGGACTAGTAATGATATTAACAATAATCAAAAAGACATCAACTAACTACCATCAGTGATTCAAAATCTTAACGAGTGTGAAAATTTAAGTTATCAGTTAACAAAAGTATGATTTAACTAAACAGATTGATGACGACTTTTCTCGTGATAGTGAACAGATTGCTTTTTCACCTAGATTCAGTGAAAATTGGATACGGCTATGAATATGAAATTGTTTTTAACAAAACACATCTATATCTACCCACAAACTCTCATAAACTTCCATAAGGAAATATTTAGTTATGAAACATGAAAATCTGATGGTTTTCTAATTATAAGTGCTGAAGGGTTAATTTAGATTACTTTGATAGTTGGTATGCGCCATATTACTTTCTGAAAATAACAAAACCGACAAAATCAACAATAAGTTATGGTACACTTATCATGCTTCATTCTTCGTTGGGCCCAATAATAGTTTGTCCGTTAAGCATATGCTCACTGAAAAATGTATATCAATTGTTGTAGAAAATTGTATACAGGTTAAAATACTTATGAACTTAATCAAACAGCTACCATATACCATTTCAACTCTTGATAATGTTTCGTTTACGCAGGTGAAGCAATCTGCTTAAAATCTTTCTAGGGTTAATGTCGGTCCTAGGGCCCGGATAAAAAAAGTTTGGGGATGCGGTTAGCAGCCTCATCCCGTAGAACACAACGCTAACCAGGAAAAACAATTTAAAGCATTTAAACTCTTTCCTGGATGTTGAAGGGTCTTCGTTTAGAAGAGTTGTGATAGCTCATGGTGAAAGACGGGACTCTTCGGAAACCACGAGGCCGATGACCATCCTAACAACCAGAGAAAAAATTAACATAGATACACCGAATGTCCAGACAATATAGGAAACCGGATGAACCAGTCAAATGGCTGAGGAAATGAGGAGATACAGCCTGGAGGTGCTTGGAATAATTAAGACATCAGCTAGGCAGAAAAGATTAGCTTCGGTCACGAAAATGTCTTGCACACCCAAGTAGTTGCAATGGTGCTGTCCAAAGATGCACAAAAAGCAGTTATAGGATGGGAATCTCATAAATCCAAGATCATCAAAGCATTTTTTAAAACAAGGGACGTGATTAAGATGAACATCATCCAGTTCTGTGCGCCCACCAATGATAGCAGTGGAGACGATAAAAATCAGTTTTATGATGGTCTGCGATCGATTGTTAATAAATGCCCAGATTGGACAAAACTGACCTTGATTGCTATCCACCTAGTGAATCAATTTATGTAGACTTCTTTTATTATTTATACCTCGTTTGATGAAATTGACTTAGCTAAAGAAATATAGTTATCATGTCATGGATTACTTGATAACTACAGATAAACGATACCATCAATAGTAAATGAACTAGGAAACATGTACTTTCTTGGGATAAACACGTATGAAAGAGGCTGGCATAGAACAGCATTTTGGTAAATAATGAATTTTAGTTTGACAAGTAAAAATGAGTCATCTAAATGATTTTGTTTATCTTCGGACATATTCAAATAATTAATATTTATAACAAATAGGTATGAATAAAAATTGTTGTAGTGTATCCGATTAATACTGATTTGGGGCATTTACCACATGTTCTATAGACATGTTGGTGTATGGACTTAGCGGAAAATTTCATGGGGGTTTACAATAAATTAAAATAATCCTTCCAAAAATGCCTATTTCAAGATTAAGTGTTAGTATTTAGGGACAGTGACGATTCACCCGTCATATGTAGCCTAGATATAAAGGATTGAGCGCTGGATGTGTTGTATACAATATGGTAATAGAAATACATTCTTCATTTTCAATCTAAACTTTGTGAAGGATATAAAGTAATTTTTGTACAATTGTTAATACTTAGTATATGAACTTTGCACATAATTCTGATAGTTGCATTCTCGATTGTGATTGACTCGTTTCAATATTATACTTTCACCGATAAAAGTTATTTAACTCGGTTTAGGTTGCAGTGCAAATGATGAGCCTAAAGTATAGGTACCTCAACCGACGGGTTTCATATAAAATAAGGTTTCTATCCTAGATTCCATAAATAACTGCGATCCAAAAATATCATCACTAATTTCAATAAAAAAAGTTTTACTGAGGTACGGAAATACCGTGGAACGGACAAATAACAGGTGGGCGAATAGTCTAAAGTTTGGTTATTTATCACGATAAACTTGACAATATTCATATAATATAACATTAACTGAATGAATTGTTACGTTCAAACACTTAATGTATGGTCAACTAATTGACCATAAAACAGTGCCAAAATAAAAAATACAACAGAAAACTGTAATGACCAAACTGTAAAAGGATCTAAAAGAAAAATTGAGAGAACTTGAATGTACTTTAGTTTTTTTTTATTTTAAAAAAGTGAGTTTTTATATCAATTCAATGTGTTCAAATAAGCATCAATGACAATTGATATTTTGTATAACATGTTAATAATTATTTCAATTGTACACATGTTTCAAATGATTTCGTTATGATAAAATGTTATTGTTTCATAATGGTAACTAATTAATTTATTCATAAGAGTTATTCCATTCAAAACTGAAATTTTAGCAATTTAAAAATGATTTATTATTATTATTTTTTAAACAGATAATTTGTAACTTAATATTTTACTCTTTTAGTTATTGAGTAATGAAATGATCATTATCGTGATCCAGTGGACAAATAATAGTGTTTTAGATAACTAATTGACGATAATTGAAGTTAGACATGTAAACTGTTGGCTATCGGATTAAATGATCTCTAAACGTTTAGTACTTATTATCAGAATGAAGGATTTTAGATATTATCTCCTGTGATAGGGTTACATGAATATGGGCTACTGAGGTGTCCTGTATTAGAAGTAAACAGTTGTGTAATGTTGTAATCGAAAATTCAACCATCTGAACAAATCTGACATGGTAACGAACTAAAAGTGTATTCCTGAAATTATAAAGACATTAAATATGTAAACACTGATCAAGCCTTGCCTCAACCCTCGTACTAATATTTGACAGTTTCATACAAACATATATTATGAATGTTATACATTATACCTAATTAAATGATTAACTTCACCTTAATTGCAGTAATGTATATAGAACATTATATTAGTTTAAATTAATCTATTCAGTAAACCAGTACATTAAGGAATAATCAAGAACAAAATATATGAAACGATAATTATAACGATTATTTCTACTTTCCTATAATCTCTACTTATAATCAACTTTGAAACTGGATTACAATAGAAAAGATGAAATTTCAGTCTTGCTTTCGAAAAATAACAACAAGAACAGCAAAAAAATCTTATTGATAAAAATTGAAAAAAAATTTTTTTCACATATTTATTTGTTGATACATTAGCCCTGTTGAACTATACAAATTATTGCATTTTCCATAGACTCAATTCATTTCTGATAGATTTATTTGTTCACTAAACAATTTCTGAGCACAAAACTGTTCTTAAACACAGTTTATGTTAAAATCTTTCGAAATTAATAACTCGCTTAAAAAATGCGATAAATAACTGACATAATCGATTTGTAGATGAAAATTATGCCTTTTATAGTAAATAATTAAATAGAACTACAAAGAAAAGTACATTGATTGAAATATCATAAAACTAGTAATGATTCCATGAAATTAAAGATGAATATTTATTGGGATCAAGTAGCCAGATCATTTGTGAGACAACAATTTCGAAATATGTGGGAAGGGATTTTGTGGATATTGTAGCAATTTCAATAGTTGAGATCATGAGTCAATTGAAGCTAGACCACCGTGGAAAACGTGGAAGCACTGGACGGCCATTTCATCCTATTGTGGGACTCTTCAACAGTGAGCATCTACGATCCCGCCTCACGAGATTCGAACCCAGGACATGAGTCTCGCGCGCTCGAGCACTTAATCACTAAACCACTGAGCCAGTATCCAACGGTGTTAATGTCTAACTTCAAACAGAAAAAGCGAAATTCCTGAAATTGTAAACTATCTTTTAATACCTGATAGTTCAATCGGTCCATTATTATTATACGCATTACTGTCATTAATACGTTTTATAATGTTTAAATAAACAGTTACATATTGTATGGTTTACATTAAAAACCAACTTCAATCAAACAAGAAGCAAGATGAATTGAACTGTTACTTTGGTATAGTATAAAACTTGAAAACAATGAGCATTTCATAGCCTCGCTAAGAGTAGAACACAGGACTACTGTAATTGATTTCCGATTGATCACATATGTACATAATTTCAGTTCCTAATTAGGAAGAAATATTTGTTGAATAAACCCTAATTGTCAGTTGGGTTGTTATTAAAAAATATTATTCAGTTATGTGAAACTTCACCTGTAGCTCTCCCAGAGTTACTGCCGGTCTCAAGCCCAGGTAAAGGAGGAGGGTTGGGTATAGGGTTAGCGACCCCACCCCATAGTAAACTAACCTGCCGTTATGTAAACTATGAAGTCAACAATCATCATGAATTCCCTACATTAAAATTATTTCATATTTTTTTCAACTTACCTACAACAGTTATTCTTAAATTTATTATAACTCGACATTGTTATCAAACCACCGTTGCAACAGCCCAAAGAGAAAAAAATTTGTGTAGCAGCATCAGCCCATACTTGTGGATCTTTTAAACGTGAGAAATCAGGTGTCAAATAATATAGTACACCATCTTTGGCACCTGGAAGAAGTACACTTCGTATTAAGAGAATGGTTAACATTATATATGGAAATATGCCTGTAAAATAAGACACCTGTAGAAAAGAAAAAAGAAAGTTTGTTCTAACATCGTGATTATCTGTGTGAATAGTTAAAATGACATTTGATTTTGAAAAGCATGGATTGATCAGTTATTACTAATTCGAATCAGTATTTTGTAAAAGTATTGAAATCCAAGTAAATTTGGTTTGTGATGTGTCCACTAATGTATATGTGCACAAACGGACACACTAATCGCATAACTCTAAACCAGTCATGAAAACTTAGATCAGTTCACGTTTCAGTATTCCTTGGAACCCTATTCCATTCTTGACTCTCAAATTGTAGTGATGTTCTGATATCTTGAAAAAATCTAGATGGGTTGCTGACTGCCGTAAAGCTTTGTTATAGGTGAGGGGTTCAAATATGAGTGAGATATTCTGAGTTATTTATCGACCAAAACCATCATCCACATTTTTCGATTTGGGTCAGTTAAAAAAATTACACAACCGTGTTACTTGTGAACAGTATAATTTTGTTTGAGCAACACAGCTTCCTACGTGGTTTTGGTTTTAGTCCCGTCATTCGCATAGTAGACTAGTCAATAAGTCGAAAAGGGTACAACTGTTGACGAATTGAACTGGAGAATATAACACTATGATTTTTATACTTCAGACGTCCATCAATCTGAATCCATAAATACATTTTATGTCTTGTGATGATATGCCTTTTGATTAAATGATTATGTATAAAAAATGTAAATTCTAATTACTCAAATATATGAGGCGAATTAATTATCCGGATCGAAAGAAATATAATGATTCCACCATCGATAGTTGAATGACGAAAATTCCTGTCATCAACAAAAATACAATATAATCAATAAATCAACTTACAAATATAAACACCAATCGGAAGATAACAAGACAAACTTATTATGATGCACTAACCTACCGAAGACAATGGAAGGTGGTCGAGCAATGACGGGGTTTGATTGAATTTAAACATTAACATCGTTAGGTGCTGACTCAGTGGTCCAGATGTTAGGCTTGTGTTCAAGTTTCGCTTATGGGATATCGTGGTTGTGCATTGCTTAAAAGTCCAATTTTAGAACTAAACGGACGTCCAGTGCACCAAGTTTTCAATGTTGGTCGAGCTTATGTCGGCTTATGATTTCAATGGAACTTGTTTTAATTCATCTAAACACTAATAAGTTGGATTCATACTTTTGAATTACATCATCTTACTATGTTCACTGTTTATATTGTTCGTTAAATATAAAAGAACTACAGAAATTAAGTCACCTTTAAGGCATTAATGTGTACTGAGTATTATTTTTAAAATTCTGAAGTACATAAACCACTTACTTTACCAAGTGATTGTACACCTTTGATAACAGCTAATGCACAAATTATCCAACAAGTCAATAAACATAATGTTAATGACCAACTTGGTGTACCGAATTCTTCAAGACCAGAGCTTAATTTAAGTACTTCATTACTAAAGTAAAATGGATGAAAACAATTGAGTTAAATTCCAAATGGTGATAGATGAATCGCTAATTCGATGGGGAATCCAGCTTATAATATAAATGTTAGGTACAACAATATATGAAACTTTAATTACCAAATTTATTTATTTATTTTACAGATGTTATTGGAGTTGAGTCAAAATTAAATCATGGTTCATTACACCTACTTTCTAGTCGAAACGTAATCTGATTACGATAACTCCATCCACTTTCGTTTCATTAGATGGAAGCTAGAAATAATTAAAAATGTTTAGTTAAAATGTAATAAGTTTAATAGTCTAAGTAAGAAGCCGAGGTTTGGTGTACTTTGATACTCGTCAGGAAGGTTCATCTGCAATCTTTATAGAAAAATTCTATTCCCAAATCAAACTGGTGGTTGAGTTTTTCATTGTCTCATTCAGAGATGGTACGTCAGTGCTATTGAGTTAGTGACCAAGTTAACTGTGAATAGATTTTGTTGTCCAGCTAACGAAATTGAAATGGATGGAGCATTAGTATAGCTTATATCATTGAATGTCATTAATTTGAAAAACATGAAACTGTGGATGAATAGTTTTGTTAACGATAAAACAAACAAGGAAGCCGTTAGATATATAAAGAGCAAAAAAAATTTATTTTTCATAAACTATGTACTGCTCACAAGTAGTAATCTTCTGATGGAGCTTTAGGATTTGTAATATTCGTAAAGTTAGCTATAAAATAAATAAAAGAATAAATACATATATATATATATATGTATATAGTTTATTAAGATTAGAAGCTGGATCAATTAGAAATGAAATGAAAATGTTTTTAATTAGTAGACAGTTATTTGACAATAGCTGAGGCTTAATAACAGATTCGAACGACAAGAGGTAATAGTAATTGTCTAACAAAGTTGAATAAATGTTTAAGATTCGATTTCGACTATTATCTATTACGTTGTTCAAAGCTATAGTTGATTCATTCAATACACTAGACTCTTACAATGTCTTGCAACAATACATTTTCATTCTCAAAGCTGAATTCATGAGTAAATCTGAGCTAGACCACCGTTGGAGACCTAGAAGCATTTGACGGCCGGTTCGTCTTGGTATGGGACTCCTCAGTAGTGCACATCCACGACCACGTACGCGAGACTTGAATCCAGGACTTTCGGTCTCGAATGCGAACGCTTAACCTTTAGACCACTGAGATGGTTTATGACGGTGTTAATAGCTAACTTCAAATGATCCAGTTTCACTCATTTGCGTTAATTGCTCGAATCTTCCTATTGATGTTTTAGGACTGTGACTGATCAGTTCATTTTGACATATGTGCATTCTCCATGGATTGCCTCTATGTTGCCATCCAGTCACGAGCGTTATAGGCGGGGATAGATGGCAATTAGTTATAGAATTCAGGAAGTGTGTTTCGTCCCATTTGGGACCTTTCAGCTTGATGTATTTCATCACTGAGTTGATGATCTTTCCGGAACTCACACCCGGTACAGTACACTGAAAACGCTTTCACACTATTCAGCTTATTGTTGGTTGATTGCGTTGTTTTCTGACAAACTATCGAAAATACATTCCACTTGTCAAAATAACAATAAAACTCCAAGTCTGATAGCAACTTACAACATGCTTCACAACATGTTTAGACGACATTTGGGCAGAAAAGCGGTTTAGGCACAAGTCAATCAGAATCAAGAGCGAGACTTAAAGGTTTTTGTGTGAAATTTAAATATCAGGTACAACGAAGGATAGAAATATCCTTTTATAGCTCTGTGTTAATAATAAGCGGAAAATTGTTTTAGCAATCACAGAGTGAGGTCGATAGTGTTTAGTCCATCAAATGTTTAGTCTTGTCTTTTTGGATTGTATATAACAAGCCAAAAGTTAACATTATCTCTTAATCCTGAAACAAACCTTAACCTGGTAGCAATAAATTTTATAGACGAACTAATTTTATAGAGGCTAAATTTATTCATTCATTACTTACTTACGCCTGTTACTCCCAATGGAGCATAGGCCGCCGACCAGCATTCTCCAACCCACTCTGTCTTCGGCCTTCTTTTCTAGTTCCATCCAATTATTGTTCATTTTTCTCATGTCTATTTCCATTTCTCGGAGTAATGTGTTCTTTGGTCTTCCTCTTTTCCTTTGCCCTTGAGGATTCCATGTGAGGGCTTGTCTTGTGCCGCAGTCAAGTGCTTTCCCCAATGTGTATCCTATCCACTTCCAGCAATTCTTCCTGATTTCTTCCTCCGCTGGGATCTGGTTTGTTCTCTCCCACAGTACGTTGTTGCTAATAGTGTCCGGCCAACGGATCCGAAGTATTTTGCGTAGATAACCGTTAATAAACACCTGTATCTTCTGGATGATGGCTTTCGTAGTTCTCCAGGTCTCCGCCCAATACAGTAGAACTGTCTTGACATTTGTATTGAAAATCCTGACCTTGATGTTGGTTGACAGTTGTTTTGAGTTCCAGATGTTCTTCAGTTGTAAATATGTTGCTCTTGCTTTACCGATCCGCGCTTTCATATCTACATCAGATCCACCATGTTCATCAATGATGCTGCCCAGATATGTAAAGGTTTTTACATCTTCCGAATCTTCTCTGTCAATTGTGACTGGATTGGTGCATGCTTTGTTCATTCATATGGATTAAAATTATTTTTGTATTATGGCTGATATCAGTTCATGATGAAATACTTTAACCCTAATTCAAAAACAATGTGATGATTCTCAAAACTCTGTTTGTGTCCTTTTAAAGGTCGGAGAAGACTGACACTCTACATCCTTAAAACTTTAAATGTTGTTTTTCGACTTACAGGCATATTAACCTGTAGAAGAATTTAATAGGTTCATTGGTTTTTGAAAATCTGTTTACACTGTGGAATATTTTTTTATTTTATTTTCTATAAATTATCCATTTGTAAAAGATTTCCCTGATTGGCTAGAAAAATGCTGAAAATTCGTCGTTGTTGTTCTAAAGTCGTCCCAACATGCTCCAGTAGATGAAATATTGATAATCATAAATGCTCAAATTCACCGTCACACAAGTACATATACAAAAGTTGGTGTGACAGTGCTCTTAGAACTATTTTTACAATTAACTCTAACTATCGACTTTAGAAAAGATTTATTCTTTTACATAAAAGAAATACAACTTCATACTAAACATTACGTAACCATCTTAGTTGAAAGACGATTGTCCAAGCATGGCACTCATCAGTAGTGCGCATCAGAACCGTTATCTACTTAAAGTTATTTGCAAACATGTGGTTATACATTTTTTCAAAATAGACATAAGTGAATGTAGAAGTTACAACATTTATTGATAACACTTACCACGAGATGCATCCATACAATTCGGACTACTCCAAGATGGATCGCAATCTGTCCAAGGTAATCGGCTTGTAAAACTAGCGCATAAAAAGTACAAACAATGCGCTACAACAATTTGATAGTATACAACAAGTATCCATGATAAAATGACCATCGCATAACCAATGCCTGGAGGCAGAAAAGTGAAAAAAATTTTCAAGAGACGTATTATTATTACTATTATTCATAACATAAATAAATAATGTAAAAAGCTGAGACCAGTGAAGCTAAACCATGTCAGGTTTGATTAAAGATGCAGAAGACAATTTCAGATGGTTGCAAAATCTTTGCGATTGAAGTTAAATTTGTGTACAGAGGTCTGGAGATTAGGCTTTTGCGCTTGAGATTGAAGGCCCAGGGTTTGATTCCCGATCGTGGTATCGTGGATGGGTGAGGAGTCTCATACTACGGAACAGTAGTTTCTGATGTTCGTCTAACTTTTATCGGTCCGTGATTTCAATGGAACGATACAATTGTTGCATCTTCGACTCACCGTAATGAACAGAGGAAAAGACTTATTATGGTTTATTATTAAATATTAAAATAAACTGTAACTCTTTTTATAATTTAAAAACATTTAAGACCGATTAAAAATATTATATCAACTAATTCAAGAGCTAATACAAAATTGATCATCTGAATACTTCTTTAAAGCCAATCTAAACTGACCTTTTACTCCGACCGCACTCCAATATATTCAATAGTACGACTTTGCCTATAAACCTAGGGTTTACTGTCTTTCCTGTTCTCGCCCATAAACTGCTCTGCCTGGGGCGATAGGGCTTAAGGAAATGAGTGTTTCAGACATTATAGCTCGATTGAACCATCATAACAGGCAAACTCGACCACTATATCAAGGTAGCAGTTAAGGTAAATTAAGAGTGATCACACTTATAGAAAAAGAGACTGTTACGTAAAGATACATTTCCTCAATACCAAACAAGAATTACGTAAGGTATTTTTAATCATATACATGAAGGAGAAATATGTAAATTTAAAACAAAGCTCATCTTCTTAATGGTCGCACAGTCTCTGCATTAGAAGTCTTCAGAAATTTGTTAAATAAGTGAAAACCATATAACATTTCAGTAACTACAGTCAGTGATGAGCATTTAAGTTCTGAAGATAAATGGGAAATGAAGTTGAATTATGCATAATAGAAACGCATTTCTGGAATAGACAAATCTAAAAAGATTATCATGAAAGTCCGTGGGTGAAACCATTTTAATCATAATACTTCAATTTATACGAATATAAGAACTTAGCAACAAAATGATGATTTATTAAATAATAAAAATTTCTTACATTAAATTCCAAAACTACTCACCTTTAAATAATGGACTAATATTCCAAACTGATATAGGACCCAAACTTGCAAATTGACCAAATGCGAATTCAAGAAAAAATAACGGAAGCCCAAGTAATATCAACATCAAACAATAGGGGATGAGAAATGCACCTACCATTAAAATTATATAAATTAAAAAAATAATAAATTGAATTATCACTGACAATTCTGTATCTTTTGTTAAGCCAAACTGATGTAATCAATCCATACTGAATGATAAAACCATCATAAATGAATTCGATAAAACTGTTGTAAAATGATGAATTGATAACAAGGGCGGCCTGCTTGATCATCTGGGCTACCTGTTCCTGTTCCACCATTTCAACAAGTTGTCTATTTTTGTTTTAATATATCACTATGTCTATTAATCGCATAACCTATTCTGCTGCGTTTCTGAAAAGTGTACAACCTTTCGTTGTCAAAGTTACAAAAAACTCAATAAGAAACAATGTGGTTCCTGGCAATATACAACGGAAAGAATGCACATTATTCAGATGTTCATTTAGTGAACTGCTAACATCTAACTGGCGATCACTCAATATTTATCGCCAGGAACGAACAAGAAGAAAGAAACGGAAACTCGTTGAAATGCTTCACGCTGAGAATTCTATATTGTACCAAAAATATAATATTGAATAAAGCTGATAACAATAATAAAAAAAAATAAACATGAACGAAAGGTGTAATTTCTTAGGCTGAAATTTCTAAATGAAACTCAAAAAATGACGTGAATACTACACAATTTCCTTTAATGGAATAAAAATGAAATGGAACTGGTTCCATTATTTAGAAATAAACTGAAATAGATGAATTTCCCCAAATTATTTACGAGTTCATATAAAAATGCTTACTGACTTGCATATAACACGAAGAAGTCTTATAATTTAAATCATCATCTTGACCGTATATTGTGAGTACGAGTTTAATAAATAAAAAGTAACCGTCACTTTTGAATGAAGCTTGTATAAAAAGATAATTGATTTACTGACAAAATATTTTTGGGCTTAAATTTAGTTGTAATTCCTCCAAAATGAAAACAGTATATCAACCAATAACTACAATAAATAGAACGATAAAGAAATATATAACTGTCGTGTGTACAGTAACTAAAAGTATGATGAAACACGTATGTTTAATGTAATGTTATACCGTGGTGTGGGTTACTTACATCCACATAAGTAGTATATAACAGTGGTCAGGCATAGAATGTATTTCAGTAGAGGATCGATAAAGAAAGAATGGGAATGGAACGCAATTGGTATGAAAATGCATGAACAATGAAATCTGAGGCAATAGACTGATATTCACTAAAGGAACAGTGAAGTTTGAAACGGTGGATTTATATTTTACAAATTAACTATTTGCCATATGGTTCTCAGATTTTAATGAGATGCTCCGTAATTCCGTTGTCTACACCCATGTTCTTGTTCACTACAATACAACATGGATGTAAAGTGCAGTCAATATACAAACAATTATGAACAAATCTATGACTTATATTAACTAGCAAATTATTTGCCTACATAGCACACATCTCAAAGATTGATATCAAATGATTTCTAAGCCTGATGGTTCATATATACACTGCAATAAATAAAAAAATTAAACATTTACCGTACAGAGTAAAGGCTAATTGCAAATCACATATTCCCATTGTTTGAAATATGCCCAGTAATTTAATTCAGTAAGTGAATTTCAGTATTCACGTTCATATTGTGACTCAAGTCCAGTTCCTTTCGCTTTAAAGAATTATCTCCTGAGTGGACCTAGATACTAACTAGCTCGGCGAGTGTAATAGTAATAGTAAGTTTGTAATTTCTGGGGCCAAAAATATCATGAAGCGCACGTCCTGGATCCCATTGCTAGACACATAACGAATACGGTAAAATATTAAGGCGATAGGCCAACTCCTGTTCAAGAGATTTGAACATGGAATTCGCGTATTAGATTAGAAACCGATCGTGATGAATAACAAACCCATAATAATACAAATGAACAGCGATCATCTAGTTTAATCTATTGCACTAATACATTACATGATTTTGATAAAAATCATCCCACTACTAAAAAGTGACCAAAATAGAATGGTCGAAATCAACTTTTGTACGGAAACGAAACAATGATCATGAAAGTCGGTGCACCTAAAATAAGCTAATTACGTCGATAAAGATTTTGTTTCATGCACTTTGCAGCGACCAGCTACATTAAAACGAAATGTTTGTAAAGTTCCAGTCAATCCTTGGACTAATAAGAACCCAAAAATGCACAGCTAACAAGGGTTCGATAAAATGTTCGAGGTTGCATGAAATGAGGCCGCTACAAAAGCCAGGATTTGAAGACCGACCAAAATTTATAGCATATTCATAAACACATAATTTAAAAATAAGTAAACATCAAGCGATAATAGGCATGTCGTAAAATCCAAGCTAACTATCGATAGGTAACTTTTGATTACTAATCATTATACAAAACATTTAAAGATGAACATGCTGGTAACTTCGATTGTTGGACAGCATACTAGCCTGCACATCATCTTTTCCTTAATCCTATCCACTAAACACTCTCAGAATCATGAGATCAGTACAAAATTTACTTAGGTGAAAGATTTATTTGTTTATGACAGAAAATAACTAACCTCCACCGTTTTTATGACATAAATACGGAAAACGCCATACATTTCCAAGACCTACAGCATAACCAATACACGTCATAACGAATTCCAGTTTCCCATTCCAACCACCACGTGCTTGTTGTTTTTCTGAATCATATCTTACATCCACTTCATCTCCTTTTTCATCTTTTACAGTGATCTTACACTGTAATACAAAAATGGAAAGAAAGAAGTTTGAGTATATATAGCACTAGACGGTATAGATAATCAGAAACCAGAAAAACACTACCCCATTTCAAGGTCAAACATTTAGCTCAAGTACTGTAAGTTTCTAAACAGGAACATGACTTAATAATATAATTGATATGAGATCTCGGTATGATATTATACTAAGTTTAATTAATGGAAGCTGTCCGGTAGTATTTACTTTTTTGTTGTAATTAGTACATGCTGTCTGTAATGTAAAATGTAAAAATACGTAAATAGTTGGCAACAATCTATGTTCATTATTGCTTATTCATATATCAGGAGTGATTTATGACAATGAATATAGAAATACTTACTTTGAACAAGTGTCCAGATAAATGAATTAGTGGTTGATTCATACAAAGAAGTATGACAGAGACTTAGGACGGTACGTTATTTAGATTTATTAGCGAAGGATGATTATAACAGAAATATACGAACTGAAATTAACACATCTTAAAATTAAAGCATAATTTTCTGGCAATAAAATGTTGTAGGCATCATGAATAGATTACAACTTTTGTTCCCAAATGTTCATATAATTCCTAAGAACAAATCTAGCCAAGATACTCTAATTATTGCTAGATTTTTATGATGAAGCATTTTTGTAAATTAGCTGATTATATTCTTTGATGAATATGAGAAAGGCATCCTCTATGCAGTGAGATTCCTCAACAAACACTGTACAAAAGTATATGGACATATCATTATTTTTTGTAAATAAACTTTTTCTGTTGAATATAGTAAACCTTCATGTCCATAGGCAGGAGAAAACGTCACTTCGCACTTACCGCTTCACCTGAATTTTCGTCAGTCAGCATCAATGTAGGAACATGATTCTTAGTTTTATTAACTTCCTGAGGATTAGACGCGTTTTCGCTGTTCATCAACACGTCTAGACTGCGCGACTCAAAAGTCAATCAATTGCGAGCAGGGAAATACTGACAAAGTAATTCTCGTCACATTTGAATGACTTTTATATGGCTCTAAAAATGATGTTCTATGAAGTTCAACATCCGATCAATTTTTTTAATAAAACACCAGATGGTTAACCAATCAGAATTTAGCATTGCGACATGCACATGAATTTTTACAACCAATAAGAACATCATTTAATTTATCCAATAATATACTTCCTAATGTTATAACACTGATACTTTGATTTGCCACATATTTCATGAGCACCGTGAATTCGTGCTTCGTCCATTCAGCTAAACGGGATACAGTAGAAAAGTGCCAACACAAAGAATCATTTGACAACTATGTACGCAACAGCGTTATGATAGTCTGAATTATAACTAGCAGTAATCGATGAACCTGAAGACAAATACTACAGTTTTAATATTTGTATTGATGCACAATGTTTTGTATGAATGTAGGTATACTGCATAGGTATAGAAGCTACTTTCATGTGGAGTTGCCAACTTCAATCCACATGGGATTGTATTGAAGGATTATCACTTCATAATTTCTGGATGTTAATTAGGAACGATATTTACTTGATATCCTAAAGAAGTCGGGTGATAACACTGTATCACCAAACAGGTAATGTAGCAGAAAGTATGGTTGGAGAATTATTCAGGATTAGTTTACTGATTGCCAAGTTATTTCTCGTTTTATTGACCGTAAGTGGGTGGTTTCACTTTATGTAACTATCTTGAAAAATAACCTAATCTCGTAGATAGCGGAATTTAAGTGGTATGGTACACGACAATGATATAAGAAACGGAACTTGAACAAATATATCAATTATTTACTGACAAATCACTGCACAAAAACCTTATTTAACTTTGTGGTCGACAAATCCATGGATTCATTCAATAGATTGGGAGGAGTGAATAGTGGATCACCACTACTGATCGACACGTTTTACGCTACACAAAAATACAATACTCTGTTAAGGAAAGTTTTAGTCTTAATCAATTAACACATTTACAGTCACTTGCCTCTTAATATATGCCATTATTCAACAGTTGAGTTGTTTACTTAAGTCGCCAACTTATTTTGTGTAAGTGTAAAATAAGCTTAAGAATTAATCCATAACGGAGTGCATTTAATTATGTGGAGAAATAGTCCTGAAAAATGAAGGTTAATTCAAGGTGCAATGAATTACACGAGTGAAGAGGCTGAGATTAATGAATACAAAATAAATAACTTTTGGTTTTTACAAATGAATGATAATTTTGTTATGTTCAACAATTAACTTGACTTGAAATATAACAATCATGATACTTCGTTACATCCAATCAGAAAAAAATGCATAACACATCACTGTTACATAAACTACGTAGTTAAAAGACTATTGAATTAATCAAACAATGAACATACATTTTGGTCAACTGTTTACATAGAACAGTGATCAACTGAAGATTTTAGTTACAATAATCAAAAATGGATTGAATAGCATAACATCAATCGGCTTTGCATTTTTATAAATGAAATCAAAAGATTTCATTAGGTATAAGTATGCTTTAGGCAATGAGAAATCGAGTTAAATATATTGATTTCACTGGTGTATACCTCTTCAGTTTATTCCAGATGTTTCTATCGTTTTCTATTTCCTGTTTGGATTTTCAGTGTATATTAAACAATAGGTAAATTGGATTTATTGATCAATCTATTTTGAACAGTTATCATATCCTTATTTAGTAATATGGACTAGTCCAATGGTTAAGTACCTTATTTGTTTTTTGTAAACAGTAATAAGATATAAAAAAAAGATGGATTTCGGTCATCATTAACATCAAGGATACGAGGATTGTCCTATTTGGAACAAGTCATTTAGATCGCAGTATTGATGTTCAGTGCGCACAGAATCCACATATGCTGACTAAGACCCTTTAAAACTGAACCAAGTATACTAACAACTGGATACCTCAAATCATTACAAATAAAAGTGAAATATATACGAGCTCTTTATTCTTTTATTTAACATTTCACATATAATTTGTAGAGCTATTAATCTAAACCAAGTACACTGATTTTATAGTCAATACAATGAAAAACGTTCGGCGATATTAGCAATACTTCGCAAGATCATGAGATATCAAAAGAAAAGCTTACATGAAGACTGGTGACATATGAAACAATTTCAATGAGTACATTTAAATACATACCAATAGTTATATTACCCTCTGATAAATAGAAGGTCAGGGCGCACTTATTTAACTAGAAGTCCAATTGTTAATTACATAGTCAAGCAGACAAATATGTCAGAACCATTAACAGTGCAATGTTTTGAGTACTGATGGTTCATTTTCGCTGTAATTTTGATGCAGCTCCTTATGATCTTTTGAGAAATTATAGATGACTACGAAAAGACACTGTAGTTACATAGATGAACTGATTTACTGAATTTGTCTTTACATAACAGATTGAAGAACCAATACTTGATTTTGATTTACTAATAGCGCTGAAAAATTACTTCAGGTCACGTTTTTTACTTTATCCTTAAAAGTAGCTGTTTTTATTATAAAACGCAATAGGACAGCAATATTTTGACTCTAGCGGAATAGCTCCATCATTTGAATGTATTTAGGTAAAGTTAACATAATTCACTGAGGATTGATTGTAGGGACATTCAAAATAGACAGCCGTATGCTAAAAATTCATTCATTTAAAGAATGAAGGAAACTGGCATGCCTGACAAATATTTTACGTTAAAATCTGTAGATAATGGAAGAAAAAAAGTGAAAATAGTAAGTGAATGAACATATGTTTAAGGTAAACTAACTTCACCGGTTGAGGTAGTAGAATATTTTTCTTTATACAAAATATACAGTTTTCGTTCAGAAAACATAACTAATCGGCTTCCTTACTCTCTACATCAACAAATTCGCTCAAACAGCAGAATTCTTTGAACAGAATCAAAGACATAAACATAGCCTAGAGATGTACATTGAAAGTATTTAACTAAATTTTCTAAACTGAACATTATATTTATGATGCAAGACAATCTACAAAAGTAAAGCTTTATGGTGTATACAATCATTTGATGAATTTTCAAGTGCCGAAACTGATTGCTTTTGATGTTTATTACAGTCAAATTAAATTGATATGTATTCAATGACATTCAACGAGTGATGTGTTTAATCCAAATAAATAAATTAAAAGATTTCGTGATAAACATTGTAATGTACGGCTATGTTAAGCCCACATGAAATGTGAATAAAGATTATTTAAGAAATAAACACACTTTGTCTGCACCTATTGTATGTTCCGCAGTTCAAGCTGGTTCTAGACAGTCTTCTATAACTTATCTTCTTGTCTTACATGTATTGTGAACTGGCCGCGCTTTTGGCTTCCTGAGACTCTTGTCTTTGACTGCATTTTGTAGTGACTTTCATGGGACTTACTTACTTACTTACGCCTGTTACTCCCAATGGAGCATAGGCCGCCGACCAGCATTCTCCAACCCACTCTGTCTTCGGCCTTCTTTTCTAGTTCCATCCAATTATTGTTCATTTTTCTCATGTCTATTTCCATTTCTCGGAGTAATGTGTTCTTTGGTCTTCCTCTTTTCCTTTGGCCTTGAGGATTCCATGTGAGGGCTTGTCTTGTGCCGCAGTCAAGTGCTTTCCCCAATGTGTATCCTATCCACTTCCAGCGCTTCTTCCTGATTTCTTCCTCCGCTGGGATCTGGTTTGTTCTCTCCCACAGTACGTTGTTGCTAATAGTGTCCGGCCAACGGATCCGAAGTATTTTGCGTAGACAACCGTTAATAAACACCTGTATCTTCTGGATGATGGCTTTCGTAGTTCTCCAGGTCTCCGCCCAATACAGTAGAACTGTCTTGACATTTGTATTGAAAATCCTGACCTTGATGTTGGTTGACAGTTGTTTTGAGTTCCAGATGTTCTTCAGTTGTAAATATGTTGCTCTTGCTTTACCGATCCGCGCCTTCACATCTGCATCAGATCCACCATGTTCATCAATGATGCTGCCCAGATATGTAAAGGTTTTTACATCTTCCAAATCTTCTCCGTCAATTGTGATTGGATTGGTGCATGCTGTGTTGTATCGGAGAATCTTGCTTTTCCCTTTGTGTATATTGAGACCTACTGCTGCTGAGGCTGCTGCTACACTGGTCGTCTTCTCCTGCATTTGTTGTTGCGTTTGGGATAGAAGGGCCAGATCATCTGCGAAGTCTAGATCGTCCAACTGCATCCTAGATGTCCATTGTATCCCGTGCTTCCCTTCAGATGTTGACGTCTTCATGATCCAGTCGATCACCAGGAGAAAGAGAAAGGGTGAGAGTAAGCAACCTTGCCTGACACCGGTCTTTACCTCGAACGAGTCTGTCAACTGTCCTCCATGCACAATTTTGCAGTGTAATCCATCATAGGAATTCTGTATGATATTGACTATCTTCTGAGGCACGCCGTAGTGTCGAAGAAGTTTCCATAGTGTTGTTCTGTCCACGCTATCAAATGCCTTTTCGTAGTCAATGAAGTTGATGTAGAGTGATGAATTCCATTCAATTGATTGTTCCACAATGATCCGTAGAGTTGCGATTTGGTCTGTACACGATCTATCCTTACGGAATCCTGCCTGTTGGTCACGAAGTTGGGCGTCTACGCAGTCCTTCATCCTGTTTAACAATATCCTGTTGAAGACTTTTCCCGGTATTGAGAGAAGAGTGATGCCCCTGTAGTTATCACACTTGCTGAGATCGTCTTTCTTCGGTATTTTGACCAGAAGTCCTTCTTTCCAGTCTGTTGGTACTTGTTCCTCATCCCAAATCTTATTGAAGAGAATGTGGAGTATCCTTGCAGTTACCGCTACGTCTGCTTTTAGTGCCTCTGCTGGGATGTTGTCTGGTCATGCTGCTTTGCCACTCTTGATTTGTCTGATGGCCATGCTGATTTCTTCAATTGTTGGTGGGCCGACATCGATTGGGAGGTCCGTGGGTGCTGCTTCGATGTTGGGTGGGTTCAGTGGAGCTGGTCGATTCAAGAGTTCATTGAAGTGTCCTACCCACCCAGTGTTGGTGATTACCTCGCCTTCCTTGTTTTTCACT